GAAAGACAGTATATGCTACTGCAACGACATCCCTGGTTTATTCAAAGAGTTTGGTCAAACATATGATTCAAAAGAGTGGCGATTGTTCATAGACGGCAATAAACTGAGTTTGAAGGCTGTATTATTGCATATTGGTAACAAAAAGCCTTTTATCCCGATTGCACATGCAGTAGATACAAAGGAAACCTACGAGGAAATGCCAAAAATACTCAAATTTATCAAATATGAAGAGCATGATTGGAAAATATGTTCTGATCTCAAAGTCGTTGCAATGCTATGCGGTCTACAAAGTGGCTACACCAAGCACTGCTGCTTCCTCTGCAAGTGGGATAGCCGAGCTCGTAAGGACCACTACGTCAGAAAGGATTGGCCGGAAAGAGTCGAGTTTACCGTTGGTGTGGATAACATCAAATATACCCCTCTTATCAAGAAAGAGAAAATCATACTTCCACCCTTACACATCAAGCTCGGTCTCATTAAAAACTTTGTTAAGGCTTTGGACAAAGAAGGCGAAGCATTCGACTATTTGAAAACAGTTTTTCCAGATATTTCTCAAGCCAAGATAAAGGAAGGTATTTTTGTTGGACCACAAATAAGAAAGTTGATCAACAATAATCAATTCAAAGGACTACTCTCATCAGTTGAGGCAGCAGCGTGGGAATCCTTTGAAAAGGTCGTTGCTTCTTTTCTCGGTAGACACAAAAGCCCTAACTACGAGTAGATAGTGAACGACCTAATCAATAATTATGCGAAAATGGGCGTAAATATGTCTTTAAAAATTCACTTTCTCCACTCACATTTGAGCTTTTTTCCGGCAAATCTTGGCGACGAAAGTGATGAACATGGCGAAAGGTTTCATCAGCAAATGAAATTAATTGAGAATCGATATCAAGGATTCTGGGACGTCGCAATGATGGGTGATTACTGCTGGTTTCTCATAAGAGAAACCGATCCTAAACTGAATAAGCGTCAAAGTAGAACACATCATTATTTCGACAACATAGTAAAATCAAATTAAGATAAAGATTGTTAGAATATAGTATAAACATAAATAAATTTAAAAAAAAGTTAAAAATATGGGTAATTTCATTCATAAATTGAACTTTTAACTCAATAGAAACAGAGCATAGCTAGATATTTCACTCTTCTTTATACCATACATACGTTTTGAGGTATACGTTGAAATTGCGCAACCTGGGTATTTTTATTTGATCGCTTATAACTTACGTAGTTTTGCATCGATTTTCTTCGATGATACCTTATTTTTTTGTAATATAACAGAGCTTAGGGAGAAAAAAAAAATCTGCAAAAAAATAAAAGGTTTTCGAGATCCTTCCCCGCAAAGTACAATTTTTTTTATATTTTTACAAAAAAATCGGTAATGATTGTTCGTTATCAAATAAAAATACCCAGTTTTGGAATTGCTTAATTCGTTCTTGAGATATATATGATTAAGTGGACCCAATTTTTTTTTTTTTGCAAAAACGGTAAATTGCAAATATCTCAAAAACGGTACCATAAAAATAAAAATAACCTTGATTTTCGGAATCAGGGGGTGATTTTACATACGAATTTCATAACGGCGTCTCTGGTAAATTTTGGCCGTCGACCAGTGTAATTTAACAAACGCTATCTACCGCATGTAAATATTGTGTAAATATGTAGTTTTTGAAGTAATATTTTGTTTTAATATTTATGTTAGTTTTAAGCGTTTTAAATGTAAGTTTAAGTTCTTTTCTGTTTTTCTATTTATGTTAGAGTTAAGTTTTCATTTGATATAGCATGAAGTTCCTTTAATTGAATTTATGTTACAGTTAAGTTTTAATTCGACATAGCATGAAGTTAACCTTTTACATTTAGAATAACTGTTCAAGATATTCGAAGAAGGATTTTTACAAATTTGAATTGATCTTTATTTGTTTTTAATAAGCGAGTTATTTGAAGTTCTGTTGATTTTCAAATGAATTCAATGTTTACAAATTTAGTTGATAGAGAGGTATACGGCCTTACTGCATGTAAGATATACCACATATATTTCTTATATACAATAAGTAATAAAATTTCATTTTGTGTATTCATGTTTTAATTTTGTGATGCGCCTGTAACTTGAACGTGCTTTTACGTGGTGTTTTAATCCACGCCATATCATATTATAGAAACCGATCTGTGATTACATACTGAGATCTGTCTTTTGATGGACCCTATATTTAATGAATATTTAAATATATAATTCTAGAAAAAAAATGTACTCAAATTAAAGACAAAATAAGACTGAAGTTATTGATACAAGAGTTTTTATTTACATAAAAATGTTTAATAAAATGCCAAAATAATTTTATTGTATTCCTTCTGAATTTTTATTTATCAACGTTTTATTCATGTAAAATAATTTGCAATTAGCCGGTCTTGATTTACATTACTGCTATGAGTCCTTGGCTCTAGGAACTCAGTCTCGTGATCGTATGTTTGGTCACTAGGGTGGTCCAAAATCAGTAAACTCGGAATTGTAATGCCCTCACCCCCTAGGATGGTTCTATATCGAAAAAAGTATACCCCTATTTTTTTATTTTGAAATCAAAAAATATTTAGAGGTCGCTCAAAGCGCTCAAAGTTTTCCATGTATTTTTATATGGAAAAAAAAAACTTTTCGTAGAAATGGTATAGAATTCTTGAAAACCAATATTTTTCGATCAGGAGGCTTTCAGTAATAAGACCCAATTGTTTATTTAACCATTTTTTAATACTAACGATTTTTATTGGTCCCCCCATTGAATTTTTCGGGGTTTTTGTGGGTTTTTGGCGGACCTATAAATTAAAGTTGCGATTAAGAAATGGTTAAATAAAAATTTGAGTATTATTATTGGGAATCTGCTGCAGACAAATTGAGTTCTCTCATAGAAAAATATTGATTTTTAAGAATTCTATACCACTTCTTCGAAAAGTTGTTTTTTCCGCATACAAAATACGTGGAAAACTTTGGGCGCTTTGAGCGACCTCTAATTATTTTTAAATTTTGAAATAAAAAAATTGGGATACATTTTTTTCGGTATAGAACAATCCTAGGGGGTGAGAGCATAAAAATTCCGACTTTATTTTGCCTCGTGTATTTTTGGACCACCCTATTGGTCACCCAATTGCAAGTTATGCAACACTGTGCATGCATTTACTACGNTTATGCAACACTGTGCAAGCATTTACTACTTTTCCAGTAAATCCAGGATCATACAAAAGAGTCCTTTGCTGAGATAAGCATCGCCAAGTTCCTTTGAGAACGCCAGTCACCTGCAAATATATATTCGAAATTTTCAATTAAATTGATTTTAATAAATAAGTTTCAGTGGATTTAAAAAGTTACCAATCAAAAACATGTTATGGTTTCCATTTTCAAAACTTCGCTGCATAACTATCCAGACTCCAGAGGAGCTCCATATAAATTNTAAGTTTCAGTGGATTTAAAAAGTTACCAATCAAAAACACGTTATGGTTTCCATTTTCAAAACTTCGCTGCATAACTCTCCGGACTGCAGAGGAGCTCCAAATAAATGAATCGTGTCGCGCTCCTGGGTATTTAGCATTGACAGCCAAAATCTTTAGATTTGGATCACATATCTATATTTGTAAAAAAAAAAAATTCTCAGTAGTTTAACCCATGAGCAAATTTTACTCTTACCATTTGCACATTGATAGAATGGTACCCATGGTGGTTGGCATATGCTTCTTCATGATGTTTTGGGCTCATGATTGACACATGAGTGCAATCGATAGCCCCAATAGTACCTCCTACAAATGGTGCGGATGCTGAGGCGAAAATTTCTTTTGCAGCTTGCCGCTCTATTTGGGTCATTGGAAACCTAACCTTTGCCAAAAACATGGTGCGGTTTATTGCATCCGTTACGCGATGTATACAGCGACTTACGGACGACTGGCTCATGGATATCCCCCATTGCTCTCCGACGGGACGTTGATAACAGTCAGTTGCGAAGAATCGCAAGGCAGTTAGAACCTTTAAAATTTATAAAAGCATTTAAAATTGAAAAATACTTGCAAATTACATTATATACCTGTTTCTCTGTCGTTATCGCAGTTATTCTTCGACCCCTTAATTGGCTATCAAGCTGGGAAACAATATCTTCAACCAAGTCTGGGGTTAATCGGTAAAGGTTACGAAACTCAGTTGCAGTCAAGTGGAAAGGGTTGTCCACTTCTCGAAGTAAACGTGTATCCACTGATGAAGGGCTTATTATCTCCTCATCTTGGGATAAAACGTATGCCAAATACTCAAATGCCATTTTTAACAAAAAGTTTTTCTTTTATATATTACTTAAGTAAATTCGCGATTTATATTATTTTTTTTACTCAAATGAAATATCAAATTTTCTTTTGTCGATGCCGCTAACAACTTCAAAATATTCGTCGTTTACTTAACGAGTAATCGAGTAGTTAACGACAACAGCTGATCAAGCGATAGCGAATATCGTTAAAATATGTTTAGCGAATTGTCAAATCGTTAAAATCGTCAAGTTTTCTTAACGATTCGATAATCGTTAAAATAGAATGGCGAAGCCCACTACAGGTATTCACTGCGCTAGTAGGTGGAACATTCGAACCTTCAAATGATGAGTTATCCTTATCCTTGCTTACTTTTACATTCCATTAAAAATGTACTAAATTTTTTTCAGAAACCTTCATCCATGAGAATGGCGGCGATGAAGTGGAATATATAGCTTCATCGAAGTCGCTTTTCCAATTTGCAATAACCGCATGGAATTGAAAGCTGCTGCACGCAACAAGATATTAAATAACTAATATCAAAAAGTTAGAAAATCCAAAATAGTCGTAATTTTATAATGGTTCCTTAATATATTTTAACTACATTGCATTTGGGTATGGAGAAGCAACTATCTGGAAGTATTTTGCATAAAAAATTTACTAAGTATAGCCTTGTTTGTAGATGCAGTTAAAGGAAATACATGAAAAGGCCCGAGTGTTTTTTAAATTCAAAAAAATTTCAATATTTAAAAAACTGTGCCACTTTTACCTGAAGAATTTTTGCTTTTCATGGAGCTCACCCCCACCTACCTTATCCTCAAGTTCAGCTACCAGCTACAGCTACCAATTTTTGCTTTATTCTGTTTATAATTGTAGCTAAAATTAAACTTTTTTAATTAAGGATGCACGCCGCCACACCTAAGCGTGTACCAAATAGTAGATTTTTTGGGCGTCTTCTCTTCAATTACACCAATTTTAAGGTTTTCGATAGTCAAACCTTAGAGACCCCTTCTATAGCTCATACAAGGATGGGTGGGAGAAACAAGGTATCTGAGAGGTTCAGAAAACATGCGGTAAACAGTCTGTAAACATTAAGCTTGTGCTCCCGATTTGATCAGCGTGTTTCAAGCAAAGGTGGCCGCTATAAAGAGTCACGTAACAGTTCAATATCGATTAGAAGGGTAAATATTTACTCTGATAGCGCAGCGGCTATCAGGGTTTTAGGATCGGTCTCAACTGCATCGGATTATTTTACAATTAGACTAATTTGGGTACTAGCACAGCAAAGGGAAAAACAAAATCAAAGGTTATCTTTGGCCTATTACTGGACATACATATGTTCTTTTACTCGGTTCAGTGAGCGCTGTGCGAGAACCCCGACACGCAAGGTCTTTCTGGTATGTGGTGAAACGCAGGCGGACAAAGCGCTGCTAAACTAATGCTTTGCCAACTCCAATAGGAACTCATGCCACAGTAAATCTACAGGCCCGTCGAAAGGGAGGGGGAAAAGGGTGAATCCCCCCGGGCCAGGGCTTCTGAAGGGGCACGAAATATCAGAAGCATAGCTTGCTATTATTTTTTGTTTATTACAATGTTTATTCTCCTTCGTTATAAGCTTTTATTATAAATATTATAAATATATATTCAACTAGCCAATGCCCGCTTGCTTCGCAGCGCCTAATAAGATCTTTTGCGTTGGCCAATACAAAAATAGCGTTTAAAAGAAAAATCGGTCTGTAAAGTAAACATTTTTAGTTTAAATTGAAACGTATAAAGAGCAGAATCCTCCGCACACATAGACCAAGAATAGTAGCGCTGTGATACCATATGGATGTCATGAGTTTTACCGATGGTCTTATTTCCACCTGTGAGATCTCTGCCAAGCGTGCGTAATATTCTTCTATGATCTTGCAACTTCAACATTGGTCCGTAAACCAGTTTTCAGTTATAGGAGGGCCTAGAAAATCCTCCATTTAGCCATATGAAAAATAAATTCGTCTAAGATGAATATAGGGCCAAAGCAGACCAAATCCCGTGTGGGTTTCTATATATTTCGGCTGCAGCGCAATCCATTAGGTCCCTTTTCTGCAAAACCACTGCTTGTCATGAAATGAATATGCATTATGAATTTCAATCAGATTTTATAAAATATAGCGGGTTTATTTTTAGGAGACGAATTTTTCATCATACAGGTAGCTCACTTTGCGAATTCGAACGAAATGGGGTAATAAATACTACTTTTATAAGTAACTCTAGTCCAGCGTGTTGTCTAGTAGGCTATAATAGGACCATATATGTAAGGTATAACCTACGACAATTTGACTGGTTTTTGAGTTTAGTCCAAACAACGAAAACGGCTATCATTTTATGTATGTACATTGGAGTGGTAAAAAAAAAAAAATTCCAAGACAGGGTTTGAGGCACCTTCCAAAATTTTTCTTTTTGCCGGTACCAAACCTTAAGTTTCTATGTATACATTTAGAAGATGCTCATGATGCACACATTTTACTCTGGAAGAATTGTGTATATATAATAATCAAAGAATTGGTTAAGTAACCTAAGAACAATTCAAATTTAAATTATCTAAAAAAATATCGCAAGTTTCAGTTGTCATGGCAACAGTACCTTTTTATAAAAATCACCAATGTTTTTGCCAGTTTCACAGCGATCCGGCAGCGCATTTCAAGACCATTGAGCACCCAGTATTAGTTGCAGTAGAAAAGGGAAAGTTGGTATAGATATTACAAATAATAAAAGGAAAAAACTAACGGGGTGCCCCGTTTTCTAGAATGAAAATTTTTTCCCCACACAAAAATTGGACCAATTTAATGTATATATATGTTTCGAATGAAAAAAAAAATCATCATGAAAGTAATAAACGTTTCGAATTTGCATTAACAAAATAGGTTAATAAATAGGGCTTTTATCGGGTCCGTTTTTCGAAAATGCTTTTTTCATCATGTAGGTAGCTTATAATTTGAATTTGAACGAAGTCGGTTCACAAAGCCACCTAGCGGGTCTATTTTTGGTAAACGTATTTTCCATCATGTTGGTAGCTTACATTTTGTATTTAAAAAAATCGGTTCATAAATATGATTTTTATAAATAACTCGACTCCAGCGCCACCTAGCGGGTCTATTTTTGGTAAACGTATTTTCCATCATGTTGGTAGCTTACATTTTGTATTTAAAAAAATCGGTTCATAAATATGATTTTTATAAATAACTCGACTCCAGCGCCACCTAGCGGGTCTATTTTTGGTAAACGTATTTTCCATCATGTTGGTAGCTTACATTTTGTATTTAAAAAAATCGGTTCATAAATATGATTTTTATAAATAACTCGACTCCAGCGCCACCTAGCGGGTCTATTTTTCCCATCATGCAGGTAGTACATATCTTGAATTTGAACGAAATCGGTTCATAAATAAGATTTTTATAAATAACTCGACTCCAGCGCCACCTAGCGAGCTTTCTGGTAGCCTATAATAGGACCATATATGCAAGGTATAACCTCTGAAAATTTGACTGAAATCTATGCAGTAGTTTTTGAGTTAACTCCGAACAACGAAAACGGCTATTATTTTATATATATATATAATTTTTATTGGGCTTGAGGCCGTTTAATGAAAAACTATCGTGGAAAAGCAACAACAATTTGGAAAAATGGTAGAAGTTCGTAATTCGAATGGTAGATTTCGGAAATCACTACATTTCCTCATCAGACTTCTTCAGCGGGATTCGAACCGACGACCCCAGCTGACTCAGCCAGTTGCCTACGCACTGTGCTAAGTTCGCCTTATAAAAGGGTCTCAAGCTCAATATAAATTGTTGAATGTAATTGTAATAAGGCTATAAATAACAAAAACAAATATTATAAATATATTGCGATTCGTGCTGATTGCTTCTGACTCTATAAATATTAAAGAAAATTGTCATATGGCCCAAAACGCGTACTGTTAAAATACGTTTTGGCTTACAGTGCTTTTCAAATACCGCTGAAACTTGCTTGAATACAACTTTCGGATAGGTTTTCTTCGTGCATCTGGAAGCATAAGTATGTCGCAATATTCAATATATACCTAAAATATATTGTGTCTCCTGTTAATATAATATAACATAGAATAAGAGTAGTGTTAGAATTGTAATATATTATTTGATTATTTGTAGGGTTGTATTTTATAATTCTTGTATGCCATTACATTGTCTGAATGTCGTTTTATTTTAATTTGGTAGTAAATTAAATTATATCCCGGGATCCCGGGATCCCGAGGTCTTGATCGGGAATCCCGATACTAGATGCCTTAATGAAAACATACCAAAAGTGAAGTGTTTCGGAGTGACTTAGGAGAAAAAGTGAAGCGATTATCGCAAGAACGATTTTCAAGCGTTCAACGTTATAATCTGGTTTTTGATATAGTACTCATGTATATACTTAAATTTTTTTAAATTAAATTTTGTCTCTGGGTTGTTTATGAGACCCCTTCATACGACTGCATTTAAATAGAGATTATAATTTCAATAATAAAATATTAATTTTTTGCCTAAGGATGCAATTATTTTGAGATTATATATATTTTAGCGTTTGTAGACAATGCTTTTTAAATACCCTCACTGATTTCGAGTCCTTGGACTCCAAAGAGGAACCCCCTCACTACCACAGTTTTTTTTTTTTAAATCTCAACCAAAAACAATCTCGGTGTTATTTCAGTTAAAATCTTTAAATGATTCAAAATCTTAACGGATACAAAATACAGAGATGTCAGCCGTATTTCCGAGCGGCAGCAATAACTTCAACACAAGAAATACATTAGAGGTAATGTAAATTTTGTTAAGTAAATATAAAAAAATTTCAAATTTAAATATGTGTGTCTGTATATACCTCGAAAAGACATACACGGTTATCTATTTAATAAACTTTTATATCAAATTGCTTGCATATGTAAAAATCTGAGTCCACGAAAATATTATAAACTTGTACCGTTATCATAGGTATCACTACAATCGGTTATACTAATACACAAACACAATCACCTCCTTGATTCACGCACACATTACATTACAATACAATACTGTTATTCTTTTCATAAAATGCTCTAGAACTAGAAAAATGCAAAATTTTGTGTTAGCCATCTCCGCTTGTTCTTTTAAAGCTTCGACTTCACTTGAGGAATAATAATATCCTTCCACCAAGCAGGTCGCTCAAATGCACCCTGATTGGTCATAAATTCGCTTTGTAAATTTTCGTACAGGAGACCATCGGATTTAGCGATGACCGAGTTTAGTGCGAAATCGGGCGGCGCCAAGGCATCCGCCACCGACACAGCCGAATCCTTGAGTTCACCACATTTAGAAAGTAAACGCGTGCGCACCGCCTCCGCAAAAGAAGGCGATTTCGCAAATCCACCCAAGTAGAAGGTGGTCATATGGCGATCAATACACCACATCGCATAGACTGCGAAAAGGATGTTGAGCACTTGTGACAGTTCTCTGTTTAAGTTCAAGCGGCGGAAACGTTTGCTGAAACGACTCAAGGCGAAATATTCAGCATAAGCCAATGATAAGTCGCGCGCACCGTACACCTGCGCATTGTTGCGCGCATCGAAGCGGTGTACACCTGCTTTTGTATCTTGCTCCACACGCCTCGATGTCTGGTCAAGTAAATAGCAGAGCATCCATTCGTAACAGTGAAGGACAACTGTAAGAAATTGAAAAAGATTTTGTAGGAAATTAACGGTAAAGTTAGGTTAACAGAGTTTGTATGTAGATACATATTGCCGATTTTCTGGAAGAATGTCATTAGTAGTTGGAAGGAAAACTAATATAACTATATAACTAACTTTTTTCTTCTATCCTTTCTGCATTGTTCAGTTTTTTTTTTTTTGACAGTCTTCTAGCAAACGGGCGAAAGGTATTTACTTATTGTATTCATGCATATTGATTTCACTTACAATCCATAGATTCGATGGGCACTTCACGCAAGATAGTTTCGTAGGTGCGTTGTAAAATATCACCTCGATTTTTCAAGAAATTCACAGTGCCCACTGGACTCTCAACGGCGCTGGTCCATTGCCGTAAAAGCCAGTTGGAAGCTTGTTGGCCAAGCACATTGTTGTCGCCTTCGTAAGTGACACTGGGATCGTGATCGTTGCGCAGATCCCCCAGCTTGGAAGCTTTCAAATAGCCATGTCCACCACAAGCTTCTCGCGCCTCCTGAATAGCATCTCTTGCCGTCCATGTGGTTAAAGGTTTCGATGAGGAGATAACTGCATGAATTTCGGAAACGATTTGAGTCTGAAATGTGGATAAGAGTTTTTTGGATTTAGCACTTAACGCAAGTAAATATACATAATTCGATGGTCCTCTGCAATAACGGCACAACTCAAAATTTCATAAACCATCAATAGAGCTCGGATTTTTATGAAAATTGAATATGCAAACTATATGGGTCATTCCATACAATATTTACACCTCAATATTTTTTTGGGGGTGAAATATATGTTTTTACATTCTTTATCGAAAAAAAGAAGACACCTATTTTTTTATTTCGTCATGATATTAGAAAATCTCGAAAAAAAAATTCTCGAAATTTTGAACTCACGGAGAAGTATTTTTTTTTATTTGTTTGCAGTTAATGAACTATTTGTCGGAGAAAATCAGTTAAGGTATCAAAATATGCGTAATTACCTCGGCTTTCCATGAGAGTATGAGATAGATTAAAATAAAAAAAAATTGCATTAAAATCGCATTTTTTATTTATTTATTTTTTTATTAACTATTTTAAATATATAAAAAAAATAGGTGTCTTCTTTTCTTCGATAAAGAATTAAAAAAATATATATTTAACCCCCAAAAAAATATCGACGTGTAAATATTACATGGAGTGACCCGTATGCAAAATATATGCTAAAAGTATGCAAGAACTATGCAAAATATATTAAAAAATTTAAAAAAAATACATAGTAAGATATGCCAAAAAAAGATTTTTATGAAACGATTTAAATAACACCTAAGAAACAAGACCGAAGTCGTTTGCACTATTATTCATTAGGGTGCCCATCGAAAATGCTTTTTTTTGGAAATTTCAAGACCCTACCCCTAATTAAAGTAAATTAAAAATAGACCCATATTTTCTTAATTCTTAAAAAAAATATGAGAAATATGGGTATTTTTTTATTTTACCCGATAAAAAATCCCAACAAGCCTAGATTATTATAAATCATATTCGATCTTGAAATCGAATCAAAAATAGTCATTCAAAAACTCATAAATCTACAAAATGTTATTTTCTGACCTAAATCGACAGGTCGTGACCTCTAAATGACCTTTCAAAAATCTATAAAAATATGTAATAATATTTCTCATAAAAACGAATAAAATTAGGGGGTAGGGTTGATGGGCACCCTAGTGACCATGTTATTAAGATTTCAGAGAAAATTAAACAAGCTTTGTTAAACGCACATCTTCAAATTTATTAACAACTTGTATTTAGTTAAATCTTTAAACTACTTTAGTAGTATCTGTGGGAAATCATCCGCATTTGCGGTCCCAACCATTGCCAAAATCCCCAACGTCATATACCAGGAGCGCATAATGGAGGAGAGTAGGGAGGAAAAGCCAATCCAGGACCAATCTCTTGCAGGGGATGTAGGTAGAGAAGCAGTTCGCTGCCAACTACCCTCCAATGACAGAGTTGGTCCTCTTTCCACTCCTCCTGTCGCTGCATTCAGTAAGTGGCACAGGTCTACGGAGGATACTCCAGAAGCCAGAGGTACCTTGATGGACGTACCGACATCCAAATTTGCTTGCGAACGTTGCAAGAGAAGGAAACCTGTGGTGGCAGGCAACAATGGCTGTCCCAATGCCTCTTCGAGTCATAGTGTGGCACGGTACTGGTGTGGCATTGCCCAATTCCGATCATCCAGACATACCTCTGGTGCCACGAAAATCAGTAAATAATTATTAAAAACTATAATATTAAGAATAATTACGTACATATTCAAATATTTCGTTGTTTACTTCCATCTTTGATCGCACTCCGTTCTGTGTTTGTTTACAAATGCAACCCTGCCTATCGTTTGACACTTTTCATGACCTTGCAGGAAGAAAAACTTCGGGCAAAATCCTGTTACTTCTGACTGGGAAAAGTTGCTCTCTTACTCGCTCAAAAGTGTTCCCAGTGAAAGAAATTCTTGCGTACGGGAACGACTTCCTGTAATTTCATACTATTTCTTACTATGCTCTAGTGTACTGGAACAAACTAAATACTAATATTAAGAGTGATAAACAAAATTTTTATATTTATTACCAAAACATCTCGGAAATGCGAACTAAAACCAAAGATGTTTTCTTGGCTACTTCTCGTTGCGAATTCGATGCATATGTTCTTGTCGAAACGTGGCTGAATACAAATTTTTCTGGTGGGGAATTTTTTGATCCCAATTTGTTTTTTACTTATCGTAAAGATAGAGATGCAGATAAAACAAATTGTCAAAGAGGAGGAGGGGTTTTAATAGCTGTCCATCGATCATTTCGCTCCGCTGCTGTTTAGCTTGAAAATAATGACTCCCTTATTGGCCAGCTTTGCGTTTGTATCTATGGTAATCATGGCAAGATATTTGTTTGGGCCTCTTACATTCCGCCAGCTAGTACAGATTCTCTATACATTCAGCCTGTGAATAACATTGTTAACCTTTATGAAAAATAATGAGGAGTGTAATTTTGGTGTTCTAGGTGACTTTAACTTGAATAAAATTGTTTGGTTCAATTTTCTAGGTAAAAGCATCTTAACACCGACGAATGTTAATAACTTCCATGAAATTAATTTCACTGATAGTAAGTTCAGTATAAGCCTTGTTCAAATAAACTCGTTTTTCAATCAGCTTAATAATATCCTTGATCTAATTTTTGTCGATCAAAATTTGACTTTTCATCTTACGGAATGTGCTTTCCCCATCTGTAAATCTGACATGCACCATGTCCCTCTATCTCTTTCTCTAAAGTCTATCGATTTTGTTTCAGTGTCCAATAATATAAACATTTTTTAATTTTCGGGATGCCGACTTTGACTCCCTGAGTTCAAAAATTCTTGAAGTTGATTGGAAATTAATTTTTCTGTCAAAAAACGTCCCAGAGTATTTTGAAGCATTCTTGCTGAAAATCTATGAAATTTTTAGAGCTGATCATTCATTTCTCCCTGCACGAATTCATAAATTACACTGGTATACTAGAGACTTAAAAAGATTAAAGAATCTGAGGAATATATATTTTACTCTATTTAAAGCCACCAATGATGTATCTTTAAAATAAAAATATATTCATTATATGACTAGTTTCAATGTTCTTGACAAATTCCTATATAAACAATATATTTCCCGGTATGAAGTGGAGTTAAAAGAAAATCCTAAAGCTTTTTGGAAACATATTCGATCTAAAACAGGTTACTCTAACATTCCTACTTGCGTGTCGTTCAATGGAACGCAATCTGAGTGCCTATTGGACTCTGTGAATCTTTTTTCGGATTTTTACAATCTAACTTTGTCGTTGACACTACCTCCTATAGTAGTTTGCCTGGTGTGGTGGTGACATCTCACAAACTATTGACTTTGGATCTCTTGCTGTCACAAAGTTGGATGTTATTAATGGCATCTCCAAACTACAAACTTCAATGAAATGTGATATAAACGGACTTTCTTCTTTTGTCTAAAGGTATCTTTATTGATCGCTAGAAAGTTGCGTCGATTACGCCAATTTTTAAATCAGGCAACAAATCCGATGTAACGAACTACAGACCTATTTCTAAGCTTTCTAACTGCTCAAAACTATTTGAAAAAATAGTCAATGAGAAATTATTATTTTTGCTATTAAAGAAATAATTGACCCGCATCAACATGTTTTGTTTGTGGCCGTTCGACAGTCACGAATCTTGTTTCTTTTTCTCAGTTTTGTACCTCATCGCTCAAGAGCGGATCTCAGGTCGATGTAATCTTCACCGATTTCTCGAAGGCCTTCGATACTGATACGCATAGTATCTTACTGCATAAGCTGGAACGGTTAGGGTTCCACTCAGCATTTTTATGCTGGGTTAGTTCGTATCTTTCCAACAGAATCTCTTATGGTGAAATTGAAAATACTAAGTCTTCCACTTTTAACGCCACTTCTGGGGTTCCACAGGGTAGTATCCTTGGCCCAATTCTTTTTCTTCTCTTTATTAATGACATTGGATATTGTTTAAAGCACTCAAAGTTTTTACTCTACGCTGACGACTTAAAAATTTTTAGGGCCGGATTCACAGTGCTTAGTTAAACGTTTGTTAACTTAACCACCAACACGAGTTTAACTATGAATTTGTATTCAGAGTGACATAGTTAGCTATAGAAATTCCAATCGCCTGAAAATATACAAATTCTAAAAATTAAGAATTTTCTTTTCAAATTTGAAATTCGTTCCACAAAGAAAAATTTAATTTCACAAGATTTTAACTACTGGTTTAAACTTTTGTTAACTGAGCGTTGTGAATATGAAAATCAATAGTTAAACTCTTATCAGAGGTTAACTACGCACTGTGAATTTGGGCCTTAGAAGCATTACTTGTTTGTCAGATAGAGCTGGAAAACTATCGATGGCACTATCGATAGTTTTCACTCATACATGCATTATTCAGTAACCGGCCGTCTTCATCTGCTGGAAAATCTCGCTTTCGTTATGACGCATGCGAAATCCCCCACGTGTAGACCGCAAATAGTATGAAGCATACTTTTTCTCGCATACCGAGCGGTCTTGGAGCTCTCGCATGCTCTCAACTGTAATTTTTGTTGTTTGACGGGTATTTTCTCATTTCGCAGGATTCTTCAGAGTAGCAACGTAATTTATTTTGGTGAAAAATACAAATTTAGCTTACAAAGATCGAACCTTCTTTTTCTGCTACATTTTACAAATTAAAAAGTATGCTGTTAAATGCCCAGTCAACAAAACTATATCTCGCTTGCGAGAGAAAAAAGCAGAACGGTAGCGAGATTTTCTAGCATGTGAAGGCGGCCGGTAACATACAAATTTCAGAGCCGCAGATGGTGCTTGAAGCCAAAAATCGTTGATAAACTTTTGTTCCTTAACAAAAATATGGACATATTTTAGCAATTCTGGTCTCATTTCAATAAAAGTTTCTGTATTAAATTTTTGGACTTTTTTAAACAAAACTATCGATAGTGTCGACATTTTCGATAGTATCGAACGTTGTGGCTACCGACTATCGATAGTTTTCCATCTCTATTGTCAGATGTTCTGTCTTTACAAGA